ACTTAAACCGCATAAACACATTTCATTGCACCAAATACACAAAATAATGTTCTTTTTATGACCCCTTTAACTAAAAGATGAACAATTATGAATAGAAATGAGTGTTTCTGCACTCCCTTGAGCAGCTAGTTATCATTTTATCAAGTGGAACATCAGGAAACACAGGAATGCAGCTTGAGAAACTCAAGTAGGAGTGAGGTGAAACCTCAGACAGGTCTGTCAGGTCAGGTGGGCTTACCAGATCATTCCTTCAAACAGGTTCTGAATAACCAGATGTGACTGAGTCACCACAATCAACAAGGTCACATGGGTCCAAGCAAACTGGAATGGCAAGCACAAACACACACACACACAAACAAAACGAGTGAACGGTTGAAATGTTATATACTCACTGAAACAATGATAATGCAAAGCAAGTTATGGCACATATCCAAACAAACACAATCACAGTGTGATTTATTGTGTTGAAATACAATTTTATTCTCAAATGTTAATTCAGAAGTCTGTACTAAGACTATAAAATAAAATAAAAATAAACATTCTAAATGTTTGACTACTGAGCGCTCAAGCAAACTTGGCTGTAACAAAAAGTATTTTGCTGCCGAGTGTTTCAGCGGCCAGTTTTTCAGTTCATGTGGAATGGGTGTGACCACACTCAAAGAAAGTGACATTTTGCTGACATCAGAGGTTTGACTGAAACAAGTCACAATTTGTGACTATTATTAGAAATTCTGAACCACTGTAGCCCTGTAGCTCAACAGCACAACACTTCAGTTTCTGGTTAATAAATAACCAGAAACTTACATCAAAACTATATTTGCATGTCTTGAAGGAAATATCAGTGCTAGCAAGGCAGCAGCTTCAATCAATAAAAAGCAGCATCAGAGCCACCATTTCAGATGTGATGACCCTGACTACGTTTACATGGACATCAGTAATCTAATTATTTACCTTATTCTAAATAAGCCAATATTATGATTATGGTGTTTACATGAGTTGCTTTTAGAATATTCCTTTCATGTTCCTGTTTTACATGTTATAGTACAGTTCGATTAATGGCACACGTCATTATGTCACCACGTGACGCCATCCGACGTCCCCTCCGTAATTTCACATATAAACATATAGTTCGTCTTCGCGACGATGCCAATGTACAGTTTTGGGTGTTTCATTTTTAACTTTATGAAAGCTTCAAGTGCAGTTAATTATTTGTATGTGCAAACAGACGATGGCGGTGTTGAAGCTCTTTTATTTGCCGTCAAACGGTTGAGCACTGCCGTGTGTGTATCCTGTCGCAAAATGCGGCATAAAGTCCTACACGACGGTAACAATGTGATTACGGTGTTTACATGTCTATACTGCACTTCAGTAATGCGACTAAAATTTGAATACTCCACATGTCTTTATCATGTAGATTCTTAATCAGAGTATTGTCTTAATCGTATTAAAATCGGAGTATTGTTGTCCATGTAAACGTAGTCACTATGTCAGGTTTATGAGCCACTATCTTTAGAGTGCAATGAAAACATCAATAACATTTCATTATGCTAATAATTGCAAGAAAGGAGACCAATTCAGTATCCAAATTTTGCAAGGGCATCATCACAAGATAGTGTAAATGCTGTTCTTTTGGGGGGGGGGTAATCACTGTTTCCTCAAAAATATTTAGCAGTTACTTACAACTGTTTTCAGTAATGTAATAACATTTCACAATATTACTGTTTTTACTGTAGGTCTGATCAAATTAATGCAGCTTTGGTGAGCATAAGACACTTTAAAAAAAAAAAAAAAATTTTACTGACCTCGAACATTATTGTGTGTAGTTCATTTAAAAAAATGGACACCTAATACTAAAATCACGCTTTGGTGAGCATAAGACACTTTAAAAAAAAAAAAAAATCTTACTGACCTCGAACATTATTGTGTGTAGTTCATTTAAAAAAATGGACACCTAATACTAAAATCACTTACCGGTACATTGCAAAATCTAAATGAAGTCTGTATGCTAAAAGGCCATGAATCCCGCATTTCTGGACTGGAATAAAAGTAATAAAAGTGCTGCCTTGCATACACTAAAAATAAATGCCATGCAATGACTCATTTAAACATTTAATACTTTCACTGACTCATTTAATACTTTCACAATGCTCAGTGTATGTAACGTAAACTCATTAAATGTGATAATATGACATATTATGACATGGGACTACTGAGTATCCAAAGGCCCAACACATGATGCGCACATGACTGTGAATGAAATGAACAGTTTAGTTCTGGCTGGCATATAAATGACTGATACACACCATATAAAACTGCAGGCGGTAATGTTTCTTCACTAAACTCAGTACAAACATGCAGAAACCTGGAAAAAGCAAATAACATGCAGTTAATTTCCTACATAACAGGAGAAATTATAAATCTTATCACTGTTTACGGTATCATTTTGTATCCATGTAAAGAAATGGATTTGAGACACAGCAGAGAAGCATTTTTTTGTCAATTTTTGTTTTGGAAAGCTTCCATATCACTGTTATAACAGCAGCACACAGCATTATGGGATATTTTGTTTTTGTACATTAACACATTTTTAGAACAAACACACTGGAATATATCTTATACTGTATATTCTGGTTTCTATATTCTCTATGATGATGACCATTAAGCTTTGCTAGAGAGAGAGAGAGAGACAGGTTTAGTGAGAAGAAATGACTGCAGAGGGGGAGACCTGCGACAGCTGTGCTTTTATGGCTGTAACAGAGGAAGAGGTTCATGCGTCTTTGATCCTAAGTATGAACACACATCTACTGTACATATACTTTTGCAGTAGTGTCTTTGTCATGGCCCTGAGCTGGTCCGAACTCATGAAGTTTTACACAAATTTGTGGAGTTCATGCAGTTTGAGTAATGCTGTCATTAAAGCAAAAGGGTGACACATCAAAAATTAAGACATTCTGAAATTCATGTTTATTTGTTTATTCAACTTTTCACTCTAAACCGGTAGCTACACAACACTCAAGGTTGTGCTATATATACACACTACTGTTCAAAAGTTTGGAGTTGGTAAGATTTTTGAATGTTTTTGAATGAAGTGCCTTATGATCACCAATGCTGCATTTATTGGATTAAATATACAGTAAATCGGTAATATTGTGGAATATAATTACAATGAAAACTGCCAAAATATATTTTAATTGAAAACAGCTAAGCTGTATTTTCAGCAGCCATTACTCAGGTTTTAAGTGTCACACGATCCTTCAGAAATCATTTTAATATGCTGTTTTGGTGCTCAAGATACATTTCTTATAATTACTACAGTTGAAAATGGTTGTGTAGCTTCATACTTTTGTGGAAACCTTGGAACATTTTTTTTCAGGATTGATGAAAAGAAAGTTCAAAAGAACAATATTTATTTAAAATATAAATTATTTGTAACATTATAAAATATATTTACCGTCACTTTTGATAAATTTATGCATGCTTGCTAATATAATAATAAAAAAAAAACTTTTGAACAGTAGTGTAGCTGCAGGTGAAGAGCTTGTTGGCATAGAGCAACAGCATATTTATATTAATCAAAGCATAAAAGCATATATTAAATATGGCAAAGTGACCAAGCATACAATCAACTTTCATGAAGTCATTTCATGTTTTGAATACCATTCAATATATATATAATCTATAAACAATTTATAAACTACGCAAAAAAAAGCTAAATGTGCACTATGGGCTTTTGAGCTAGAGTCATAAAAGTCTCTGATAGTCTCCGTGGAGAGTCTAATGCGAGCTGTCAGTTACACTCACCTGCCAAATACAGTGCAAAAGAAATAAACCGATGATAACGCACAAGAAACTGCAGAGGTTCCTCCCTTTGGACGAGTGCACCGAAATAATCAGCCACTGTCTCTCCATAAAAGAAGTAGTTCACACAAATCAAGAAGTACCTGAAATACAAGGTGCATTTGTGTCAAGATCTGATTATTTGAGTGAAAGAAACGTATTTGATGGAAACAATACATGGCCCCTTTCAGCTGCTTGGCTGTCATCTTGTTTTGTTTGGACGAAGCCTGCAGGTGGGGAGTACTTTATGCTAGGCTCCAACATGGACGTGCACTTTGCTCAAGTCCAGTTAATCACTACTTCATCCATGATAAAAAGTGACTGGTAAAACGTGAGAGAGTGGGGGTGTGTTTGCTTGTAGTTCAGTGTGCGTACATGAATGTAAAACACATGAATCAGAAAGAAGGGGGAAGGGTGGAGAGATAGGGAGAGTTAAGGGGTGAAAGGAAAGCATTTAACGGTAACTAGTCAGCATTTTACTTACCAGCTAAGAGTCCTAAACCACGGCAGATCATAGGAATGGTAAACTCTGTAGCCAATGGTTATAATTTCATGAAAACACTTGATTTGAACACCCATAACCTATAAAAGGATTATAAAAAAAAGTTAATAAATGTTGTAAAAGCTGAACACGTTCAAATAGCGTTTTTAAAATTTCTGATTCCTTTCTGATTCCTACAAAAGTCAAACATCCATTTAAAACACTGTGGTGATTCATATCAACCTTTCATTGAAAATATTTACATTATGTCAAGTCAGGTAGGGTTACAAATTAACTAAATGACGGCACGTGGCCAAAAGGGTTTGTAGGAGGACAGCTGGGATGTTTTGTGAATGCTTTCTATAGTAACCACAAATGTTGGCTAGCAAGTGGTCAGTGTGTTTGTTTAGTTAATAGTGTTTGCATGGTACATATATGGTTTGTACTCATACTTACCACTAATATAAGCATAATGGGTCCCAAATAGATGATGAGGAAGAAGCCAATGATCATTGTCAATGACAATATGCCTCTTATCCACCAGTTTTTCCACCTGTTGAGATTTTTTTTTGTTTTTTTTAATCAATTTGAATGCAGAAACCAAGAAAACTACAGTTTTGTAAGAAACCTGTCAGGACAGTTAAACAGTTTGTATAACAAAATACATTTATATGGGCTGGCAAATCCCCACTCCCACTATTAAGGGTATAGATGACATTTTCCCTTTGTGTTTACTTGGAAATGAACTAAAAGCCTGTGAAAGAGGTTCAAAGGATGAAGCTGGGTCAAAGGTTTAACTGATGACCCAGTGATTTCCCCACTGTTGAAATGTGGGTGTGTTTAACTGAATGAAATGGCATGAGCAGAATGATCTACTGTATAACAAAACAATGATAATGATTTCAGTTTGATTTAAGCTTCAATGTTGAACATTGAAGATGTACAGTATTTATGATATTCTGAGCTTTGTGAGAACAAAATGGATGGGATAGATTTATGCTGATGGTGCCATAAATGTAATAAATGGGGCTCCATGAGAGATGTGAATACTTAGTTTTCTGGCCCAGAGTGTAATAAACTATTTGCAGGTTCCACAACTCATGCAAGCCACTGAAAAGAATGGGAGGGAATTTGTCAATGGATAGAAAGAGAAAGGGGAGGGAAAGGAAAGGAAAAAAAAGTGCAACATCATCACAAAGTGTGGTGGGTAGCCAGGCGCCGGCATTCAGGCATGTGTTGGACCAGCGCCTCTGCTTTTTTTAAAGAAGCTACAGCAAATCCCACCAATAGAACAGCAAAACTGACAAGGATTAGGATTGTTTCTAATAAAGATCCCATTTAATCTCTTCGAGGGCCCATTACCCTGTCAACCGACCCCTCACCTCATCTGCATATCAAATATCACTAGAGTCTGTCTTATTGATCAAAATTAAAAGTGAATACCTGTGCAATACGCTGTGCTATGAGGTTATGTGTCAGCTTTCAAAGATTAACTGGATCAATTTTTACATGGCACTGATTTAACTAAAAAATCCTTCATGTGTGGAAAGTTTTTTTTTTTTAGAGAATATTAGTGTACGGGTTTCCTATTTTCCCAGTGAAAACAGGTTAAACCTGTTTGTGAATACTCAGAGACTCATAGTTGCCCATGTGCATTGAACTGGGGCCTAAACATCCGGACAGGCACATAATGCCGACATAGATTGTTTGGGGAGTTGCACAAGAGCTCAGTGCCATTGGGTACCTAGATGACAAGCCCTCCAGGGCTTTGTTGAGACACTGTGGAGTGTTATCAGTGGAAGGTGGCACGTCTGGTGTGTCCGCTTTTGAGTCGCCCTCCATTTCTCCTTCCCCTTCACCGGGAAAAGCAAGCCTGTCATCTCCATCTGCCTCCTGCAGAGTGTAAACACACACAGTGAGGGGAAAAAACTAGATAATTAATGTACTGATTTCAAGGCAGATAATTATATACACTTAACAACACGACATACAACACACAAACAATTTTATTAGGGATGCACCGAAATTAAAATTCTGGGCCGAAACCGAAAATTCTGGATGCATTTGGCCAAAAAAAAAAAAAACGAAACCGAAAATGCTTTGTAATGATTATTTGTTATTTTATTAAATAATATAAAGTAATTTTGTAAGACTTTTTAAATTTAACTCCATTTTAATGATACTGAATAAAAAAAAAACACAAGCCAAAAAAATAACCACACTTTTACTGAAAGTAACAATAAAACTGGACAGAATTTATATTAATATTGGTAACACTTTACAATAAGGTTCATTAGTTAACTACTTTAGTTAATTAACTAAGAATGAACAATAGTTCTTCAGCATTCACTAATCTTAGTTCATGTTAAACGTCAGAGTTTGTAAGATCGTAGTAAATTCGTGTCGTGTGTGACTGCCTCCAGTACGATTTTCGGATAAACTCAATCGTGACATGTGCCAGAGCTCACGACGTTCCGACCTTCAGAATCGCACCGTGTACGCCCGCCTTTAGCAGGGCTCCACACTGCGACCATTTTTTCTGCCTGTGCGACTAGATTTTGTGAGCGGTCGCACTGGCGCGACCACCGCTTTGTTTAAATCATAAGCGCTGCCATTTCTGTTGCATGTGAGAAACATCAAACGGCAAACAAAGCTGAAAGCATAACGAAACCGCGCTATTCGTTTGAACTGCGCAGCACTTCCGAGTGTAGAGCGTGGTTTATACTTGCTGCGTCAGCAGGAGCGCGAAGCTGCATGCAGCAAAAATGATGCGAATATTGAGGAAACGATGGATGGTTTTCATGCTAAAGTAAAGTAAAGTAAAGTAAAGTAAAGTAAAGTAAAAGACCGCTTCTTAAACCAGAGAAGGTGGCAAAACAGACTATGTTTTCTTGTAAAACGTGAAGATCGCACCTGAAGCCCAGCTTATAACATAGCAAAAGAGGAATTCCCGTTCACAAAATTCAAATCACAAATAATACTACTGATGAAAAAGAACGGTTAAATGTTAACCACTTTAGTTTCCATATAACTATAAACTATGATACAAGTTCATCAGCATGCACTGATTAATCCCATGTTGTAGCACAAAAAATTAAAAAAAATTAAAATATTGCAACCAAATCATGTGCTTGTGCGACCAACTGAGAAAGTTAGTCGCAAAAGAGTGACCAGTGGGAAGAATGAGTCTGGATCCCTGATGAGTGAGTTGAATCAACGGATTCATTTAAAAAGCGGATTCATTTAACTTTGCAAACGACTGTACTTATAGCCTGATTGAATCATTTGCTGGTCCATGTAACGCTGAGGAACAAAACACTGTTGTTCGGAAACGAAGCGGTTCTGCTGTTTGTGCTATTTTCTTTCTGACGGAGCAAAAAAATAAATAAAAAATTGTGTGTCTGAAAGTTACTCTAAGTTGTTGTTTTCTTGTACGTTTGCGATCGTGCAGATATTTAAAAAAAGGACTCTTGTTTGTGTGATAGGCTAAGTCCTATATCATTTTTATGTTATTAAAACAGAAACTGAAACTCATTAAATTGCTATTTTTTTTATTTAAAATCATTTTGATGACATTTCTTCCCCACTATGTGTAATGGTAGAGAGACGAGAGAGAGCACTCAACTCATCAGATGATCGCATAATTTAGTGGAACATTAATATAGTAACATAGAATCATCCTCTGTAAAGAAATGAGGTCTGAACATTTGAGAATTTATCATTATCTTTCTATGCACGCTCTTTGGGGCTAATTGCTTAATGGAGCTGTTTAAAGTAGCCATGTGATAAACCAATAGGTGCAGACGCGATTCAATACGTGCGTCCTTCTTCTATGTACCTATCAGATTGTGCTACCAGCATCTTATTCATGTGGTTTAGGGCTGTCGCGATTCGTCGATTTTATTCGACTATTCGATTTTTAAAAATCCTCGACTTCATTTTGCTCGCGTCGACTAACGCAAAATACCGGAAGTGGCGCATTTCACGGACGAGAATCCATAAAACACATTATTAGACTGT